GTAAAAAATGGGTGCTGCATGCCTCACAATGGCTTTTAGAAGAATGACCACCTGTCTCAGGCTGACCCCATCCACCTATCTGCTGCTTAAAGAAAACACTTGTCACAGAATATTGGAGCAACAACAGGGAGGTTGTCAGCTGGGATAGTGGGCCAGTATGACTGGTGGACTGCCAAAACATTTATTTGCTGTTTGCAAGGCTGTTCAGGGCTGCTTGATGCTTTTTTTTGTATTGCTTCAGGTAAAAAGAAATATCCATGGATGCTGAAATATTAAAGCAATAGATAAAATAATACCACACATAAATCTGTTACTATAATCTTATAATCAGATATATTCAAATTACTGGCCAAAAATTGACCCACTATGGCCAGCTATACTAATAGAGGCACATTTTCTCATTAAACATGGGGTTGTGTTTTCTAAGCTTTTAATATTCTGTTTCCTATATTTGCTCTTTATTCCTTGTATGCAATTATGTTTAAATAGTCACCCACGCTGTAATTTGTGCTTGTAGCATCGTGCCATTAATGAGCAACATGCAAGTATGTTGTTTACATACTGCATCTACATGACTGTAAGGGCTTACATACGTGTGATGTGCTTCATGAGCACTCATTTTCTCTGCCTTCTTTTGAAATGGTATTAAAATATTGATTTATTTCAAGATACCCTCATTGCCTATTCCAGTTCTAGTCTGTCTCTTTTTGCCTTGCTGTGTGTTTGAAGTTAGAGCAAAGCGCAGCGGGGTGCACCAGTGAGCCACAGCAAGAGCACCACATTGTCAATTAGTTTTCTTCACTTGTAAGACGGACTGTTACTTTTAAAATCTCACTATCAATTAATGGCTTGGAATGTATATCGTGTACAACGCTGTGCATTTTACCAGTACAAAATGCTTTAAAGATTGTTCTACTGGATTATCCAGGGATTTAAAACATGTTATCCCGCCTGCCTGGTCATCTGTTCGATGCGTGTCCAAAGAATGTTAATGTTGAGCTGTTAATGTGAGTTTGTATCATCCTAGTTTTAGGGTTAAGTGAGGAATTGGTGCTGTTTTATGTACCTTTTAAGTACTAGACATATTGATTGTCCTTTAGGTTTAGAGAAGAGCTGATTGATTGCAGCTAGTGATAACCTTTAATGGACCAGGATAGTAGTTCTCGTGGATGGAATACAGATTTAAAACCTCACGCAGGCTTAAAGAAATCTCAGAGATTTTCTAAATTCTTTATATTGTATAAAAGACTGGTGTAAACAAGTCTAGGTTATAAAGATAAGTATCATCAGAAGCACCTTCTATATCTATCAGAGCTAATGATGATATGACCACTTATCTCTGTTTGTGATATTTACTTTTTGTGGACCATCAGTCTGACAGGAAAAGTCAAGTATTGACATTTTGAATTGCACTTTTCACTGAAGGTTTCCTTGCCTTTATTCATTTTTTTCATCAAATGCCCAGTCTCAATCATCCACATTGGCGACAGGTTTACGATAAAGCTGAACTGTGGCCACAAGTAGCAAAATCATAGTCTTCAATAGTTTACAGGGGTGTGTCATGCACATCTTTGAAGCTTAAATGTTCAGTCCACAAGAGTCCAAATTACACCAGTAGAATTGCTGCTTCAGTGCCTTGTAATCTGGTGACCATTCCACAGAGACTGCAATGTGAGGATCAGCAAGGCACGTCACCCAAACCTGCCTCAGTTTATTCTCCTGTTCATTGCCCTTACCCTGGACCTAGAGGAATCATAATGGTTACATAATGGTTACATCAGCTTTCCAAATTTGAGATATTCACTGTTTCTTTGTTTCACCCTTTTATAGGAAAGATAAAGGCTTTCTAAATGCTAACGGCTATGGGGGGGATTTATCAAAACTGGAGCAGACAAAATCTGGAGCAGTTGCCCATGGCAACCTATTAGCATCTCTCTTCAGTTTGCTCAGGTAAGATTTGAAAATGACACAGAGAAGCTGATTGGTTAAAGAGCAAATCTGCTCCAGATTTTGTCTACTCCAGTTTTTATAGACAACTGGGTGCAGGAAAATGTCTCTCCTTCTGACTTGAATTATGTCAACCATGTTCGCTGTCTGTGCATGACAGGTTGCTTTGTTCTAGAGATAAACTTGTAATATATCCACATTCGCTCAGATCTAGTCAGTAAAATTGGACAATTTTGACTCCTTTGGATTAATATTTTTCTTTCACATCTGTAGGGCCAGTGTATATAACTGGCAAACACCGAGGTTTTGCACGCAGAGTAAGTAAATTTAACAAGTAACACAGTTTGAGCAACCAAACCAAGCCTAATGTTTGGTGAGATTGTCTTTAATGTGTTCATGAAGAGGACTGCCTAGCAGCTAGTACCTTAGAGAAAACATTGACACCGGTGTCAAATTTTTAGAGCTTGATGTTTGTGACCAACCTTTTTTTTGTATTGACCTACAGGAAACTCAAATGTTTTGCCAGAAAATACAAAGGAGACAGATCATGAAGAAAAAGAGGATGATGAAGATCTAAGTGATATATCTGACATTGAAATACCTGGTAGGTGATAGAAATCTGTTAATGTAGAACAACTAATGTTTAATATGCACC